TTAACCAAGCTTTTTCCCAAATAAACATGCTCCTTGTGTGCATGTCTCCCATTTATGATTTACTTCCCATTATAAAGCTACAATCTACAATATTAAAAATAATACACAGACAGATGTTTATGAGAGGCCGAACAGGGTTTTATTGTACYGACTCTGGTATTTGTGGTTTGTATTTCTTTAATCTCTACTGAAGTGTGGTTCCTCCCACCCTCTCCAATTTACTGCTTCTGCCTCTTATTATCCTTCCAACAGGTGATGATGCCCTTTAAACCTATTTTTTTTTCAGTATGAGCAGGAGTATGATGATGTACTTAAAATGGCGTCTTTATGTGAGAAATTAGAAATTAGGCCTTTATTCTGGAGATCTAGATGCACCCACAGGGAGGCAAAGAGAGTCTCGCCTTCCACTTTCGTGGCTTTAGTAGGGTATTTGATCACCCTCTGCTGGTTGTGCTGCCTGGGCAGCTGCCAGTCTGTTGGATTTTGGGAGAGTGTCTTTCCGCTCTGCTTAAGTCCCAGACATCACTTGGGATTTCGTTTGGTGCGTTTGAGCCGCGTTAGTACAGTTTAGTCACAACAGTTTGAAATCACTGGCTGTGTATATAGTTTTTTTATTTTTTATTCGAATGGATGGAAGAGAATTCTGCCCCTGGGTCAGATAATCATCTCAGACCCGTTAAATAAGTAGCTGTGACATGCATCATAACAGTGGCCTAAACCACCATATTTTTTCAATATGACACTTCGTTGCTTTTTTTCCTTGGCCCGTGGTTGGACTTACATTAGAAAAACAAACAGCACTTAGCTATAATTAAAAATGCCCTACGGTAAGTGGGATGACAAAACAATGGGAATGCTGTTCATATGGATGAAGTCAAGTGTAAATGAAGTCTAAAAGAATTAAGTTGAATGCAAGGATAAAATTATCTTGTTGGCTAGGCACAGGAAGTATAAAATAAGCCTTCCCAATGCATCAGATCTTGCATTTCACAGTAAAAAATCTGATCAGGGTAGKTTKTTTTTTTTTTTGTATCATGAGGCAAATCTGTCTTGCTGTAGCAATAGAAACATAACCTTCAATTAACTATTTGAAACTATTTGAAATGCAGTTGCACATTAATTGGTAATTTTAGAGAATTTTATGTATACAAGCATCTACCTTGAACGTGTGTGCAATATACTTATTTGTACTACTTGCATTCAGTTTCTAAAAATAGGAAATGTTCATAGCAGTATTCTTAGTATTCCTTTCTTTCAGGATAGTCAAGTTCAACATGGAAGTATGTTTATTAAAACTTTATGTTGAAGAACCACTGTATCATAAATACAGTTTTAAAAATTGTGCTCCAGACATAATGATGAGCATAGTAAGACATAATTGTAAGAAGGGCTGATTTTTTTTTAACCTCTAGTAGCTGTCATTTTGCTTCAGGTTTGGCTCCAGTCAGAGCCTTGCTGACCAACTGACTGATGTTTCACTAATTGCCACTTGAAAATGAAAAGGGAAACTGTCTAGCTTTGAAACATTATTCATGAAAGAAGGATCAYGCTGGCTTGTTTTCAGAACAGGAGCTTTTTCTCCTGTCTTGTCTAGACAGGCCAAGTACAAGACTTTGTACTGAAAAGAGCTCTCTGGTGTGTCATTAGGCATATTGGTCTAGTCTGGACTGGTCTGTATTGCCCGGTTGGAGTGTTCTGAGGTCAYTCCTTGTATTTTGGTACAGACCTTTGCAGGTTTTTTCAGTTTGACAATGCTCTAATATTCACTTTCTACTACCTCCATCAACCTAACTTGATCCATCTTGCTTTACAATGAAGAGTTCTTTTCTGGTTTTAGTAAAAGCTCAGACTGTTTAAATGCTTTGACTTGGCAAACTAATTTAAGGTACTGAATTTTGTTTACAAGCTGCAAATACCAGATCCTAAGTATGTTCCACATTTGGAAATGTCTGTATTTTCATTGCATAATCTGTTTAATTAATTTGTCCTACTCCTATAATACATTTTCTCGAATATTTCCTTCAGACTTCAGCAGAGTGTGATTATGCAGACTGTTTTGCAATTTTTTGTCCTCCACTAGATATTACATTTTGTTAGATTTAAAAGTTACTTTTGCACATGCATGTGTGAGAAAAAGGAAGCCTCARTKCTWTGCAAGCACTGCTCAGCAATAACCAAAACATTGGTGTGACATCAACACTGCTTTGATCACAAATCCAAAGAGCCACCATAGAGTCTGTTGTGAAGAGAGTGAACTCCATCCCAGCCAGGCCCAGTAGAGGATGACTGCTTCCTTGCCAAATATATTTGGTGGGAGATCAGAAGGCACCATGATTTTTGACAATACCTCCCATTTTCAAATCAACACAGAATTCCTGTGGTATCTTGAGCAAACTTCCAATCAATGTGGGCATGTCAAAAAGGGGACAAGAGCCTAATAACTTTTTTTTTTTTTTTAATGTACCTTGAAAATGGTAATTTTCAGAAGCGTGAGGGAATGAGGAAGCAGCTGTAATATTTTACAAGCAAAGTCGATTGAGTCTGCTTTTTGATTCCAAATTTCAGTGTGGTCTGTTATCTGTGACAACCACCTATTGCCCCCCCACCCCCCCTACCCCTTTTTTAAAATCCCAAATTCTTTCTTCTGGTTAGTCCTCTTATGATAATGTTAGTTAAACCCCAGAACTTTAAGACTTTAATATAGCTGTGAAAAATGTAATGCTCCGTCTAGTCTTTTGTCTGAAGACTGTATAATCTGGTGGCAGACACCTAGAGTTCTTAACTTTAATTGCTTTTGACTTGACATCTTGCTTGAGCATTTAATATCAGCCATGGGGGAAGCCTGGAAAGCGTTACATTAGGACTCAACACCAAGGCACAGGAAAGCAGTAAATAGTGTAGCCAAAGTAGCATGCCAGGTATTCTGACTCCCAGCAATATGGTGATTGATTCTTTCTAATAGAAGCATTATGTTCTTTGCCACTTCAGTTTAATCCTGTGTTATATTCTTCATTTGTGATACCTGGAAAGTCTGAATCCTTTTAAGCTGGCTTTTCTAACTTTCCAAGACAGCTTTGTTCATTTCTTGTTCCAGTTTCTTCATGAAATTGCAGAAATGAGTCCTTAAGCATTGTAATTATCAGATTGCTAATATTGAGCCTGGCCTTTTAAGTCGTCTTTCCAAAAGTAATTGTTAATGACCTTTTCATTTCCACGGGTTTCAAAGGCTTACTTCATTTGGTTATGTATTTTTTTAATAGCCTATACTCAAAAAAATTCTAAGCCCTTCAATGCCTCTTCAGTTCTTTGTTGTAGCAGAGAAGAACAGGGTGACAAAGGAACAGAATACAATAATTTGTTTGTACAGTATTTTATTCTACAATTTTAACAGGTCAGAGACTGCAGGGTTGACTGAAAAAGCTTAAATCTGAAGACCTCATTTAGGCAAATACTCATTAATTTTATAAGTGCAGTTTCGCCAAGTGAAATAGATCAATATTTTTTGCCACTAGAAATGCTTGTTTTCCTTGCATTTCATGCCTTTTATTTATATTGCTAAGTAACATATGTTGCACATGTTGATGCATACACTTTTTTTGTTGCAGTAGGTTCTTGCTCTGTACCAAAATATCATTAATATTCTTGAAAAGTGTTCGGAGTGAGGTCTGCAAATTGCTTTTATTTCTAAAGGAAATGAAAAATGAAAATTGATTCACCCCCTTTCTCAATTTCTATTCCCTCTCCTTTGCTATTACCATGCTTGCAGTGCACAACAAACACACGAGTGAGATAGTGAGTATCACACCTCAGTAACTGATTTATGGACATTTTAGAATTGGAGATCCCATTATATCAGTTCAGACTAAGTTAAGATTAAGCAAATTTTTTTGCTGATAGTGTTGAAGATGCACAAATTCTGTCTCTGCTGGGAAGGACCAGAAATCATCTCTCTGGGGCAGAATCAGCCAAMCCATACTGCAGCCTTAGGGAAGCCCAGGGCAGGGAATGGCACTCCTTTAATAAACTACTTGTGAGTGTTTCTAATTCTGTCTGCTTTGCCTCTGCTTGTGAATGACAATCACCAGAATTTGTCAACATGCTGGAAGTGTAATCATTAAATTTTAATTTGTCTAGATATAATGTGTTCTCTGTTCTMTATGTGTAGTGTATTTAACTTTGGATCAAGCCTAGTGAGGAAGCTTTTTGTAATTGTGTATATAATTTTGTGAACGTACAGCTCCAATATTTGCTATAAAATTTATTTGATCTCATAGGAATTTTTCTCATGACAGAATCATATTTAGGAGAAACTTTTCTCATTTTTTCTTTTTTTGTAACAAACAAAATATAAAAATGTCAGCATGCCTGCATATAGCATCCAGAYGCTTTATATGCAGTTTAGAAGTTTACTAACTTTGTGATGAATACTAGCATGTGGGATTTCAACGTGCAGACACGAAGTGCTTGATTGTAATTAGGTGGGAGCCTGGCAAATTGGCTTTGGGAAGGTAGTTAAGGAATAATTGTCTGTGTCTGGACAGGATTGTTCCTGGTTACACACTATACTGTTGCCTTACAGCTGATGCAAGGCTTTTTTTTTAAATGTGGGACAATTATTAGTTTTATTAATAGTGCTCTTGAGTCCCAAATATGCAAGGTGCCACACAAACATGTATGAGAACAAAGTCTTTGTCCAAAGTGAACTATAATCAACATAAACTACAAAAAAAAAAATGCCTATTATTAAAAAGGTTAAATTTTCCCAAGTGGCAGTTCTGATTTACTAGTGGGTTGGTTCTGATGATCAGGAATATGTCACTTATATATTTAAACATGCCATGCTATAAGGACAATATTGCTTGTTTTGATGTTGAAATACCAAAGACCCATCCACCATTATAGAGTCTACTTGAAAAGTGTTGTCATTCTAGCACTGAAGAAGGGTAGGCATCAATTTTCTCACAGATTTTTCTTTTGTTTTTTTTTTTCTTGCCTTTCAGAGTGCAAATTCACCTGCGCCAGTGGTAAATGCTTGTATCTTGGTTCACTGATTTGTAACCAACAGAATGACTGTGGGGATAACAGTGATGAAGAGAACTGCCTGCTTGTAACAGAGCATCCACCCCCAGGCATCTTTAGCTGTGAGTATTGGCTCCTTGTGTGCATCCTTGTATGTATGTATGTCAGATATGTCTGTTTACCTCAAAATCAATCTCTTTGGAAACTTGGTCTGCAGTATGATATCAAGGGAGTACGAGACAGACAAAGCAAATACTATTTTTCTCTGAACTGGTGGGGATTTGTGACACATTTTTCTCAGGTTTCTAAGCATGGAAATTTGTAGTTACTCCAAGGCAGTTTGTGCTACAGACATTGAGGTTATAATCATATGGATCATATGTGGTCTCTGAGAAAGCGTAATTAAATAATTTGTTTCCCAAGATTCTACAAAATATGCTACGCGCTCTGTCTGTGTAACAGTCTTTATATGCTATTAAGAATATTAAGAAAGTTATAAACTTTCTGTTCATCATTCCTGTTAACTTTATCGATGCTGAGACCAGCATCATTTGGTAGGTCACTGACCTTTGTAGGTATATATTTAAAATAGCTCTAGCTGCTATTCTTTATGCATAAATATTGCACACACAGTGCCAGAGTTCATCACTAGAATTGCTTTTTTAGTTCTTTGCCCTCAGTGATGTAGACTGAAATCAAACTTTGCTTTTGCTTTTGTTTGTTCTGCAGTAATTTATTTTTAAACCACAATTCAGCTTTATGGATGGGGATAAATTTTCCAATTATGTTTCTGATATACCAGTATAATAGAAGCRATGTTATTTTACTTCTGCTTTCCAAATGGTTTTGTTCTGCCCATACTGACATCCCTCAGTATTATTTTTCACTTCTGGTTGTGACTATGTCATAGGGATATCTGTTTTGGTATGCTGTTAGTAGTAATAGGAARAATGAGCAACATGTATCTGTAGTTTCTCTCATTAATGCATGGGGCTATAAGCAGGACAGAATCAGTGTGGTGGATTCATAAAAGAAGTCAGGTGTTGGATATACACCTGTCCTCCTCTACCCTCTAAGTGAACATGTTCCTAAATGGTATACTCTGAATAATTTAAATATTGTATTTGTGTTACTTTGTAGTGATTTCAGTGGCTTTGAAATAATATGAATCTGCATATTCTTTTAGAGTATTTAATTTTATATTTGTTTTAATTTATTTGGTTTTGAGTGGAACTCTCTCCAAAGTCCCAGGACAAGACACAGGCTTTGGTGATGGGTCCAAATCATGTCATGTCATGTCATGTCATGTCATGTCATGTCATGTCATGTCATGTCATGTTTGCCCATAACCATGGCTTTTGAATTATAAAAAAGTTACACTTTATTATTTATTTATACAAAACTTACAAGCATACCTTTAAAATTCAAATAGAGCAATTTTTGTTGATTGGGATACTATACAGCTCTTCAATTAAAACCAGCCAGCACAATTGTTTGTCCAAAAGTGGAAATGGAAACCACAGTGGTAGCAGATGGAGGGAAGAGTTTTGGTGAACGTGCAGCAGCTGTGACATTGCAGGTGGTGGCCCTACACAGCTCCAGTGCAGTGTGGCACTCTGTGAATTCCTAGGTGGAGCTCCTAGGTGGAATCCCAAACCCTTCTTCATCCTGAGGTCTGGCAGCCAGGGCRCTGGTGGTTTTTCAGAACGTCTCTGCTGGTGGCAATCATATGGTAATCAAGCCTCGTGTTGGCACCTTCTCTTCAAAAGGCCTTTGGACTCTAGAAATTGTTACTTGCTTGATCCAGTATCTGCACACTTCCTGATCTTCCCCTAAATCACATCTGTCCCCTGGGGTGTTGCTGTAGGTCACGAAGACAGGCCTGCCTGGTCAGATAGCAAGTCATGTCCCTTGCCTCCAGCCACATAAAGTTTATCCAGAGCAAAATGGATATAAAGTTTATCAAACTGAGCAAAATGTTTCTCTGAAAAACCTTCAGCAGCAGGTTCCCTACTGCTTTCATGGGAATTGCAGTTGCTGTGTTTCACGATCCTGYCTCTGGAAAGTCGTGCAAGTTAACAGCATTTTTACCTTTCAATGGACTTGGGAGAAAAATAGTAACTTCCTCTTCAAATCAGCCTTTTACAGCTGTGAGGGCTGTTACCACCCATCTGTGGGTGTTAAAAACAACCCAACAAACAAAACAGAAGTTCTCAAGTTTGTTCARATGAATTGTGTTTCCTTAAAGCTGTTACAGTGGTTAATTTTCTCTGACTGCTTATAAAGATGGTGTCCAATAGTCCTGCTACTCGAGATCTCCCAAGTGCTGAGGGAAAAGGAATAATTACATAAACAATCTTATTAAATCCTTCAAGAACTGTATTTGCTGGTTTTGCAACAGTGTTGGAAATGAGCAGTTTGTAGAGGAAATACTGGATGCATTCCTAGGAACATTTAGAAGTGTTTAACTTTTTGCTCACCTTGTGGCAGAGAAAGCAGTTCATTATTTGTTGCATTTGGGGATATTGACRATGACTGTATTTTTTCATTGCAATAGGGACTGTGTGACAAGTGCTGTAAAATAGAGGGACTTAGGTTTTAAATTAAAAAAAAAAACAAATCCCAGTGGAACAGAATACTAATGGTGAAACAAAGAGAAAAAAAATATATCAAAGCCAAACAGAAAAATAATCCAACCATAAACAGTATTTAAATTATATTTGTCATAATAGTCATATTAGACTATTATGTGGTAGAAATCAGTGCCAATTGGTAATRGGAAACAGCATTATTATGGACATGTCAGTTGGTTGTGTTGGCTTATCCCAGCTTTGAAAAAATGTTTTAGAATACTTGCTGAAGTGAGGTCCCCAGGCCTTAGAGGGATGACACATTGAATTAAGAAATGTGTGCATGCTTTTGCTCAATGATTTTAATGGGGATCCCTACCAGAATACACCAGAGTGTATGCTCTTGAAATGTCCCAGCTGAGCAGGCTGCCTTTCAACACAGAAGTGCATACATTCATTGCCCTCTAATTAGTAACAAGACAGTAATGCAGCTCAATAAGAATAAAATGAGTATTAAAAAAACAAACAAACAAAAAAAAAAACTTGAGGAACCTTAAACCAGTGTTTAAGTTTCCTGGTCAGTGTTACACATCAGCTCTGTTCTTGCATCTTCTTGCTTGTGTGCAGTTCTTGACTGGGAAGGAAGCTGTTGAAAGGAGCCACTTACTAGTTTGTGCTGGTCTGCATCCAAGCAGCGTGTCCTGTTTCTCTGGGACTGCCCTTGCCTTTACCGACAGCACATTGTCACTAATAGTATGCCTTTCCCTCTGCTGTTTGTTCAAAGAATCCCTTTCTCATGCTGTATTTAAACCTTCTGTCCTGCTGTGATGGAAAAAAMATTCATTTAACTTCAGACTTACACACAGACTGTCCTCAAACAATGTCTAAGTAAATAAATTTTTATATGAAAGTTTTGATTTAGTTTATTTAAGCAGTATGTGCCATGTTAGTGGTAGACCATACTTCCCGGCTGCTGAAGCATTTCTCATTTGTGTTCTTGCCAGCAGCCAAATCCAGAATGTCTTGTTAGAGCTTCTTGTTCAGTTCAATTAAGTTGCATGGGCAATGGCATAGGAAGGTATTTTTTGTGGGTGGCCTGCTCCCTGGATCTTGTGATTATAGAAGATGTTATCTTTCTGTGTTGGAGGACTTCAAATCTCGCAGATCTGGTGTTCCTCTCTCCTTGCCATTTCTACATGGCTCCATTGTGGTAACTGTTAATTCAGTCTTTTAAATCATAGAATGGTTTATGGGGCTGGAAGGGACCCTAAAGATCATCTAGTTCCAACCCCACTGCCATGGGCAGGGACACCTGCTGGAAGAGATTCTTTAAAGCCCCATCCACCCTGGCCTTGAACACTCCTAGGGATGAGGCACCCACAATTTCTCTGGACAGATTGTTCCAGTGCCTCACCACTCACGGTAAAGGATTTCTTCCTTATACCTAATCTAAACYTATACTCACTCTTTCAGGCCATTCCCCCTTGTCCTGTCACTACCTGCCCTTGTAAAAATGTTGCTACTGAACTCAATGTCGCACGTGTTTAAAGGAAAACAAAATGCGTATCAYTGCAGCCCTTTGGTTGTATTAATTTTCCTTTGCTGACTTACAGGTAAGGCTGCCTTATGCTGCTGCGTGGGCAATTTACTCTGTATAGCACAAAGAAACTGGAGGGCAGCTGGGAAAATCCAAGGTGTGTTAAGAGTGTGATTTTAGATGACACAAGCTGCAGTCCAGCATGTTGATCAAAATGCACGCTAAGGCATTTCAGCTGAACATGTTAAGCTAGCAGCGTGCTTGGTTTACACTGGGATGCAGGTTTGGTGATGCATGTTGCAACACACCTCCCCTCCTCACTGAGGACACCCCAATTGCACCTCTCTCCTGCCCCAGGCCGCCTTGTGCATAGCCCATGTCAGCTTTTAGCAGGGCTACTTGTTTTTGTTTTCATCAGCTGTAAAGACTTATTGATTGAGATAATGGAGATGACTGTTCTTTTAAGACTACTTGGAGGTCAAGGGTGTATTGAGCAGCACAAAGCCTTGATAGGAAAAATGAGGCAAAGAGTAGGATTTTAAACATTGCAGACTTGGCCTTGGCAGCAGCTTGCCACCCCATGTGACCTGCAGAATTTGGACTCCAAAGAACTGAAACAATGTGCCTGCCTCTAGAAGGACACAGTTCATTTGTTTGAGCATTTCCCTTTGTTTCACAACAAACGATCAGCCTGCCTTGTCCTCCTAAAAGTAAATTAGATTTCAAAATGGGAAGCAGAGTCTGTTGTCTGCAGACTGCAGTGTCCAAGTCATGTCTCATCGAGAAGAGTTGCRGTGGTGGAGATTTCAGGATTTTTAATTGTTTGGTGGAAAGCAGTACAGGTAGTTATCTTTGCTGTGATCTGTATGGTTTTGTGGGCATATCAAACACAAATATTGACATACGTGAGAATTTACAGAAGAATAAAATAAGTGAGAACAAATCCTTCTTGTCATGTGCAAATTATATCTACATCAAATTTCAAGTTGTCAGCATTGATGGAGGTGATGTGTCA